AATGTCTTTTTTTCTGAGTAAGTGAGTGTTTAGATTGATGGGAGAGAACCAAAGTAGTTGGACACTCACGACATATGCTCTCACCCTCGCTTACCAACTCTCTTCTGAACAGTACGATAGTCACGTGTAAAAAGAAACTTCATCTTTATCATCGGTTTCTGGAGAACATTCTTCAAGAATACAAGTGATATATTTGTCCAATAGAGTCTTGCAGGATTCGGTTCGGTGGCGATATTTTCTAATCAGTTTTAACGCTACCAAACCCAACCATGCAAGACTTTATTGTCTAACATAATTGATACTGCTTGCTTGAGATAGAATTTTAAAAAATTGTTATAATTTTCTACTCCTCAACGAATCACTGATAGGCACCGACAAAAATATTTAAACTCAGATGCTTTTGGTAAATTGCTTTTTCATTTGACTTACAATAGTTGTATCATTTGTATAGGCGACATTTGTGTATCGATTTGTACGCGATAATAAGAATCGAATATGATTGTCAAACAGTTCCGTGGCTTTTGTTAGTCCGTAGAATTGTGCTGAAAAGATTTCGAATTGTTCGTAACTACCCGGATAGGGTATTGCTGTTGCCATTCCATTAGCCCATACTACATATTGAGCAAAGCCGCCTGACCAATGCCAGAAATTATTCAAGCACATGACAGCTCGCATCTGACGTTTACTCATTTCATACAAAAGAAAATCGAGCCCATCGAGCACATCAGCATCGTATATTCCGGGAGAAGGCTGCATGGAAGGAATGATACGCCACGGCTCTGTGTCGGGTCCTTCACTACCTGCTTGTACACGCAGATTGTTCACACCTAGTGCATGTAAATGATCGAGTTCACGTATTAAACGCATGCGGTTGCCTCCAGTGCCAACTGATGCCAAATTAGCACCATACCAAAAATTGGTGCCTACAAAGAAATAGTCATGATTGTCCAAATACAAACGACCATTTTTCACTTTAACAAACGATGATGAATCAACTGCTATCACAAAAACAGTCGAAAGTAGAAGATAGCATGTAATTAGTAACATTTTGTCATACAAAACTGTGAACCACTATGAGTATACAATGCTACATGCTTTATCAAAAGAAGCATTAAGTAGTGTCAATATTTGTTGTGAGATATAAGATAGTAAAACTTTGCATATAAAAAGATGCACGCCGTCAAAAAAAGGATTCTTTTCGTATCTTTTACAACGGCCAATAAATTTTATTTTATTACATTCAATAAGATGCATTGTATATGCTTTGTACGGTTATTCACATAAAATTTTAGAAATTTTAAAAAGAAATACACCACAAGAACATTATTATGATAAATAATGTAAAGTCTTCAACTCATTAGAAGACTTTTTCCATCTATCATATACACGTCGCAGAAGACATTTTAGAAGACCCCCTCTGAGAATCGATTTTTTCAAAAATAATTTCTTCGGCTCATTGATTTTTTTTTATTATATATGTCCATAATTATATCTACGTGCAGTAAGAATAGTGCTTTGATTCAGACGTCATAGTGACGTATGAGAATCGCGTTAAAAAAGTTTTAAAAGTCAACTAACAGGAAAGAACAGTCCAGTGAAAAATTCGTTTCTTTATTAAAAACATATTGTGGAGTTACTTTAGTGCTGAGCTCTTTTGCAACATTATTTAAGAAGAAGTTCTTTAGGTGCCTGATACGAAAAACTGATTTCAGAGTCGTAGGATCTGCTTGACACAGTGCGCACTCTTATGGATTATGGATGAAGAAGTCTCTCTAAAATAGGAACACATTCGATAATACCTTCTTGTGTATTAATTAAAAAATCTCTTCTCATTGGTACTTCCTACTGAAAATTCAGAAATGTTTTTATCACAAAGCAGCTCATGTATAATTAAAAAAACTATCTTCACATATACAAGTCGAGGTTTGTTCTATGAAGTATTTATTCTGTCTGAGAACATATTTCTCTACACAAAAAGACCTAAAGGCACCTTTCGAAACACTCAGACAAAATGCAGAATGTGTACTAAAGTACTACTTTTTCTTTAAACTATTTGTTCATAAGCAATCATACTCTTTGAAGTCAGCTTAGGGCTAATAACTATATTAGTGGTATATGTCACTGTGAATGTGTGAACGAATGTCATCCAGGCTGTTCAAACCTCAACACAAGCACACTGATTTAGCAATCAATTGAAAAATTCATCTTGTTTAACATTTGCATTAGAAGCATTCATTGTTGAAGAATTATAAAGCTTTCAAAAAGAAGTACCAGATTAAATGAACGGATCATATCAAAAATGTATTGCAACAAACATAGTAATATTCTTCGCATTAAACCTATAGATTTCATTGATTATTTTGAAGACAATTACATTGGTCGTAGAGATGGTAATAAGCAACGTCATTGGTCTCAGTTTATAGTATCATTCTGATATTGTTTTAGTTGTCTCGATCAAAACGTGACATATACACATAATGCTCAAGAGGTTTGGCATTATGCTTTTCAGGTAAGCTTTTATTTTTATCGATAAATGTTCCGTTATTTATACATCTTCTTTTCGTTCAGAATTCTGTTTGTAAAAGTCCATCTATGTATGAACCTGTGATAAATCTTCAAACAGAATAACATGCTAATTTAATTTTTGCTCGAAAAACGAAGGTTGGCGGTATAAAATTTAGTAGACGTATCTTATATGAACAAATAGGCGAACAGCTACAATACTTAGTATAGTCATTTTCTTCTATTTACAAAACAAGAGAATTTGAAGGGAGACAGCTCTATTAAATTTTAGTGTTGTTTAATTAAGTTTCTAAAAATTATAAGTTTTTACGTTGGTTATCTATTGATGCCCAAATGTCGGTAGGTTTATCTATTTCAGGCGCAACTATCATGTCATCGTATTATTATAAAAGATTGGAAAACAATATCAGTTTGTTCAATCATGATTTGCAATGATGGATCAATAATGAATATAGTATATTATGTCAATCGTCTCATTGGACCATTCTTTGATGAGATTACTCAATGTAGACTATTCTCTAAGGGTGACGATGTCAGAAATACTATTGAATTCCATCAATAAAGAACTTATCTTCATTTAGCAACTTTATTTGCAATATTTAATGTTAATGAGCTATTTAAAAGAATTTTTTTTCATTAACAAATTATCGAAGTCTTGAAATATTTTCATAATGATTACATATCAGATTATGTCATGCACGCTATGACTATTGATACTATTATCCAACTTGGTCATCTTCTTCTGGAAAATCAATTTTTTATGTAGCGTAACAAATTACATCAACAGATTTAAGGTAATACTTATGATTTTCCAGTGACTGTGCTACTAGTATATGCCCTTGATATCTATTTTATTGACAACAAGATTTCCTGAATACTTGTTAATAAAAATGAATTGTTTGACAGATACTTCTTTGTTTTTTTCAAACAAATCTCTCATGTATACAGAATGGACAACATCTGTCCACTTATATAGCTATCGAGATGAAGTGTTTATAACATAGAATAGATTATGACAATAAACTTTGTACATTACTTGATATTGCTAATGTATGACTCTCTCAAAATATTGATGACATTAGTTGTATTGGAACTTGTACAATATTTTATGAATGTTATATTCTGTCATAACAATAGTGCTCTTGTCACAAGTATTTACCATCAATCAGACCACGGAGAAAATCCATTACATCTGCTATCAAATGTAACTGAATGTTCCATTCCAAATAAATCCGGATGGCTATGAGAAACTTGCTTTCGAGTAGTTCAATTTTGTTCGAATCACATTATCTGTTGTTACGAACGGTACTCCATTGAAAAATCGATCAAAAACAACAAAGTTTTGAGAGGACTTTATCATAAAAGTTCATGAAACATTTATTAATGATTTTGGCCTAATGACAAAGTAAAGATTTTGGATTCCACATACTAATGAGTTTGCACGAAGTCAAGTTTAATGATACAGTGGACTTCATATAATACTAAAGAGATAATGGACAAAGTATTCACAAATGCTATTAAAAAATCTTTCAGAACTATCAAAGTCGAAACAAAATCTGTCATATCTGAGTGTGAAAAAGAATTCAACCACGTCATCGGCGAATACTTCGATACTAATTCACTAGTCTGAGCAGTATGGTATATGATATCTCTATCTGACACTCTACCACTGGTCGCAAATGATTTTCTTATAAACAAATGACCACAAATTCATCTTCGAATTTTATTCGATAACGATAAACAGAAGCAAGGTATGCATCGATCGCAAATGACATCTGTATTTCATTGCCTATCTCTTCTTATTCGCAAGTTCGCCAATAGGCAGTCAAGTTATTTGAAGATGCACCAAAAGTTGAAAACAAATTTCATTTTCCAATCCGTCTCTTTTGTTTTCATCTATCATAGTCAACATATTTTTATCTTCTAGTAAAAACTCATTTATACCGCAAACATACATATGGTGCAGTCCCCAATATCTCATTTATACTAATACATTGTACTACTTGATAAGATTTCAGCACCATTGAAATACCAGGTATTGTGATAACTGTAAGACACCCATGCAAACGCTTGGGCAGGTGTTTGGAACAACCGAATTTTGATTAAAGTTATTTTGTTTTATTAATGAAAATAGGCGAGAAGAAAAAAAAGTGAGAAATGAGAACCAAAATTATCGAATTATAGCAAGAAGTTGAAAAGCTTCTTCGAAAGATTCTGATAATTGTTATACTGAATTTGGGTTTCTAAAAGTCAAAAATAACTGAAAAAAAAGGATAGCTAGGAGTTTGAGTACATGATTTTGATTAAAATAATTCAGAAAGAGATTTGAACGAGGAAGAAACAACAGAAACTTCAGCTTTGAAGCCTCAAGAAAGTTTCTGAAGTCTTGAAGTACGTTGTTTTCCCATCGGGTCCAAGTCAATGAGTGAAAAGACGATTCATATAATTACCACTTGTATCAGTTTTAACGACTCAAGTCAGTAGTATTTTTGACAAAAGAGCTTTTGATTGGCCGCAATCATATAGTCTTGTGCTAATAATTCATTGGGACCAACTAGAAAGGCTAGAATGAGTCCTGCACTCATATGCCACTCAATATGACAATGAAAAAGCCAAGCACCCGGATTATTTGCTAAAAATCGTATCTTGGCCCAACCTGACGCTGGAACGCTCACCACATCTCGTTGTATGTATGCTCCTCTATACAATTGTTCGGCTTGGGGATTATCCGAAGTTGATATAATCCAAAAGCTATGACCATGAAGATGAAATGGATGTTCACCCTCATCTGTGTTCTCCAAAAGTATGTCGACAACGGCTTGATATGGAACTAGATAATGTCCACTTCCGTCACTTTGTATGACTGGTAATGGATTGTCGTTTGTGATGATTGGAGACGGAATACCAAGTGAGGCAGAGTTTGCTACCATCTGATAGAGTAGCGGTAACATTTTGTCTGATTTCATAGCATTCATAGAAATTGCTTTATTTCTAACATTTATCGCATCAGAGCTATATGTGACATTGTTAAGATATCCACGAGTGATGTTATGCGAATCCGGACGAAATGTGATAACAAGTTTTAGATAATGCGTTGCATTGGGAACTACATTGCTGGCTGGATTGAATGGTCTAGCACATAAGATATTGACATCGTGTTGGTCTTCTGAATCTTGATTACTTGATTCTGAAGTTGCTTGATTGACTGGATATGTAGGCAACGAATCACTTGAATCAAATGATAATATAGCTAGGTATAACGGGTTGAAAAATATCGGATATGGAAGGCATTGAGTTGCATATGGAGCAATATAGCTGCTAATATCAACTGGATACATTTCTGGATTAGCTTTGAATCGAATATAAATTGATTTTGTCGATGGCAAATCAGTTGGCACATAGGTTTGATCAAATTCATTTAAATTCACATAAAAAGAAACCCGTTGAGCAACGTTCATAACAAAGGAGGACACTGTATATGGTACTACAGGTGTTTGATCAAGTTCAATAATATGTAATGGTAATCCATCGATTGAAACAGTATACATGGAAAATGCTGCAGCATTAATGATTCTGAAACGGATACGTGTTGCACCAGATGTTTTCACAAACAATGACTGAGAAAATTTGCCATTCACAACGATAGCATCAGGTATAGGCTCAATGCCTTCTGTATTTTGTGCGCTTAGATACCAAGATAATAACTTTGTTCGTGCAACATCATTGTACCAATCAGACACCATCAGTATACGCTCAGTATCATAGTGCTCTTGATTCGGCTCTACTTGTCGACGAATAATCAATGGGCCAATGAGACCGTCTGTATATTGATTCAAATAATGGCCATGGTACCATGTAGTACCTGCTGGTTGAGCTTTGAATTTATATGTCATTTCACCAGAAGGAGGGATGGCACATTGCGTGACGTCCACCACACCATCCATGTTCGGTGTACCCTTTTGAAAAATTCCATGCCAATGAATGGTTGTCGGTTGTGCAAGTTGATTGATTACACGAATTATGAGAGTGTCGTTTTCGTACGCTTCAATTAATGGACCCGGGAAGTTATAGTTCACTGCTACAATTGGCTTCTTTGATGTAGAGTACGGTAGTATTGTGTCAATGATCAACGTGTGCGATACGATAGCCCCTTCCATTACTATCGCAGACATAGCTGTCAGGAAAAGCAGCAAAACTCGCATGAATTTCTTTTCTTTGGTAGACTAGACAAAAAAGACAGACTGATATTATGTTGTTTTTCTCACAAACATAATAGATAATTTTTACTCAGGATAATACGAACTTGATATTTCGAAATAATTCAACATTATTGAGCAGATCTAATCATTCTTTATTAACTTTCGAAGAGCTATCCAGCATTTTTTGGATTATGAATAGAAAAATATGGGAATATCATGTCATCTAACGAGAAAAGAATTGCACAATTTCTAAGCGAAAGATAACTTTTCAATTAGTGTACTGGATATGATATACGTTTTCATTTCTTAAGACCAGAATGTTCACAAACTGAGACGTTGAAAAGTTAACTGAAATAGAAAACTTACGCCAAAACACTAGCATTGCAGTCGTTTAGATGCAATGTCCTTGCCAAATATCTCAGACTTCTTTTTTTTATCGCACACATACTCGTATAACTCGCTAGCTTAATCACAGCGTCCTCGAATGCTAAAAAATCCAAATGACGATTAGCTGCATTTGTTCACTATGACCAAAATATTCGTATAGGCAATCCTCCATACGGTGGCATTTTAGTATCCGAGTGTAATATGAAGATGTACATAAGTGTTGTGCGGCTAATATTCTGAAATAATTTCCTACCATGTGACTATTGTCGTCTGGGGATAAAAAATCAAAATAGCAGTTGACTGCAGGTGTTCGCGCCGACCAAATATGGAATAGATGATACTCAAATAATAGCTAGTATAGGAATATTTGCTATTCTGGAGAAACTGTTATCTATACGTTCTGTAGACACATGCTCTAATAATTTCCAAGCAGGATCGCATTGTAATAGAGCATTACGAAAACTAGATATTGGGCTATTAAAACTGTTCGCGCTGAAGGGTTTACCGTAAGTGCATGTTTGATCCGATACTGGCTTAAAGAGAATCTTTTCGATGAAAACGTTCTGGAGCACTTGTCTTCACACTGCATCGCACTTGATTTTAAACGAGATTAAATCTTTTCAATAATAGAATAATAGAATACTGAATGTTTGTATTTCTACCACAGATCAAAACTGAATCGAATGGCGGTTTTTCTTAACAGAGTCGAATAGAATTAACAACTGTTGAAACAGAGCCCAATCAAGACTTTCTTATTTGTTTTGGTCTCTGATTTCTACATCGTTACTTAAAAATCGGATTGACAGTTCATGTGACAGACGCATTTTAAGGAGAGTTGCTTTAATGTTAATACAATACTAATTTTTACTTCCTTTGGTTTTCGATGACTCAATATCATTCCGAAAGAAAGTATGTGTTCGTCATGCTTCGATAGCTGAATGTTTAGAGCATTAGTCCAGATAACCATTAATCGGTCATGGGTTTAGTTTTTGTTTGAAACATCTATTTTCTTTGCCGTTTATTCATTGAAAATCAAAGGAAGTAGAAATTAGTTGAGTATAAAGATAACATATAATCCTTTTCTGTCCCTTGAATAGGGAATGAATTTTCAGTACCTAACATCTGCTGTTTGTTTCGTATAGAACTTCAGAATGTTTTTCCTACCAGTAAAAATATTATAGTGATACAAAAAAAACACTAACTCAGGTTAATGGTGCTACTATATGAGACAAAAATCCACTCGATACTCATTACTATAAAGACATTGTGAACAAGTAGCATATTCAAAAAACATACATTTGCTTGTTGTATCCGTATGAGATCTTGTTAGCTCAGGACCAGACTAAAAGTAGAATGAAACGACGTTGTACTTTGAGTCAAAGCAGGGCATTGCGTTGCAACTTTATACATGATGAGTAAGCTGGCATTTTGCGCATTCATCCGTGTCAATCAATTGCGTATGTCACATTCATGACTTACTTCTTTTCTGATGTAAGAAAAAAAAATTAACCGTAGTTTAGTTTGTTCTGTACCACGTCATTAGAAAGCCTTGATTGACACTAATAAACATTCAATCGAATGGTTACAAAACGAGTGTGAGCGTGGGCGTGCCAATGTGACCCTATTATGATTATATATAGCGATGTTAAAGTTCAAGAGAGTAGCATCCATATCCTCAAAATCATTTGTATTATTGCCAAACACTGTATTGAATGTTGATACAACGACATATAATCTTTAGTTAATGATAATGTTGCATGTCTTTTATTAATTTAAAGACGTTTAAAATTTTCTCACGAATATAAATTTACGTACAATAGTATCAACAATTTTACGATGGCTATCTCAATATACAGCAACTGCATGTTTAGTTTCACTAAAATAATCGAACTGACCATCTGAATATGTTGAAACATAAATAATTTCTTTTTTTATTGTATGTTATCAGGTAATTTAATATAGACTCATAACCATCAGTAAAACGATATTTTTCGTAATGAATAAATAGTAATGATGCCTGTTTACGGTATTCAATGTCAATGGATGTTCGACTTAATTTACATTTTCCACGTGATGTTATTGTATAACGACATTCAGGTATCTTTGAAGAAAATATTCTTTCTGTTGTTGATTTTATTTGCGATTTTCGAAAGAAACATGTTATCAAGCAAAAAATATCATTATTTATTCGTAAATAAAATTCTATAATTGAGGAAATTCTTTTTCATTAAAATACAATTCACTTTCTGAACATTTATCGAAGATATTCGGATTCATACTGTACGAAATAATTGAAGTCAATTTTGTCAATGTATATAATTATGAACTAAAACCGTTAAATCAACCTTCAAACATTTAAGTATCAGTACATGATACATTTTATAGAGTTTTAGCAGACATGATGTTGTTGATGCATTATAGTCTGTAATAATAAATGATCATTTATATCTACTTAGTTGACGACGTGCTGATGCTTGTGGTAATAATCGATCCGCAGATACCTTTTCCAATAATAAACGTGAATTTTTATTGTTAACGATTATTCAATATGTTGATACAGCAGATAAATGTCATTAATAATGTAAATCAAGTGTACATGATAATAATTTGGTAGACAAGCACCTGAGAATGATTTTTTTACGTAATTGAATCAATAACATCAATTTCGTTTGTTATTATTGTCTTGTAAAAGTTAGTCGTAATGGTACCAATGATAGTATTATTAATTTTAATTGATCACCGGTTATCACTGCTAATCTTTTTGTATTTATTTCATTCTACTAGTAGTTTCCGCATAACAATTGTGTAAAATGTTGTGTTCGGTTTTTCTTTTCACTATTATCATCATTGTCGAAAGATAATACAATTGATGGATAATGTTCACAACGACAATCTGTAGTGTTTTGGTTTATAATATTGACTAAATGCTCGATCAGTAATAACCATAAATCTACAATTATATCAATAATAGATGAAAATTGTATATGAGAACAAACTTTTGAAAAACTTAAAAATGAAAGAAAATAAAAATTTATAAAAAATTTTTAAAATGTTAATGGTGTTAGAGAATATGTGACGACATAAGATTAACTACAAAGAACACAAAAAAACAGAATTAAAATTAAAAAAAAAGCTATCGTCTAACTTCTCTTACGGTTTACTTTTTTGGAGCATGTTTATTCATGTACCAGTTTCATTCACAGAAAAACGTTTTAAATGAATATTATCAGGAAATAGTTTTTCGAATAAATCTTGAGCTTGATCAGCCAATATTGATATACAATTACTTTTAAGCTCAATCGAAGCATCTTCTTGTACTGCATTTCTCTATATAATTCTTTTCTTCATTTCTTTGAAAGTCACCATCATTACTGTTTTCTGCTGATCTTGAATTTTTCGTTTTTTGCTTCTCTTTTTTCTTAGATTTTCATTTTCTTCATTAAGTTCACGTGTCTTATCGTTCCATTGTTTGTTTTTCTCATTTTCGTGGCGAATGACATCAACTACTAAATTAATGAATGAATTAACAGTGTCAACTTGGATCAGAGTAGAATAATAAGTCGTACGTGTATATATGTTAGCATTGGTTGATACGTTTTCATAGTATTCACTGTTTTCGGCATCGAGTTCAACATGAATGAGTGGTGTTCTTGTTGGTGCTATTGAGAAGAAGTACACGGAGACGAGGCCATTTTCAATTTGTGGTAAGATGTGTAAAAGAAATTTGTACCAAATCTGAAAATTATGTACTTGTTTTAATGAAAGTTAACCTCATTTTTTGTCAAAGATAACAAACGTGTATAATGAATTTTGAGAAAACGTCAAAAGAACAAGACGCATACAATTTTTCTTAATTTTTAATAATATTGACATTTGATGACGAATGAAGTAAACTTCAGCGAAATTTTGAACATTGAATTTAAAAGAATCAATAATAAAGAACAGGATTTACTTGACAACAACCATGTTTAACGATTGATTGTTAAATAAAAACTAATCAATTAATTTCTCTTAGAAATATACTGAAAGCGTTCAATTTATAAAGAAGAAAAATAAAATGAAATTATAAAAGTCTAGTAAAAAAAATAAGAAAAAGTAGAATAAATTGCTTACTGATCGTTTTCTAAAACTCCATATTCCTTTACCATGTTCAACTCGAGGATATTGTGTGACGATGGTTTCCGTATAATATCGATCAATATGACATGCCATATCGAATTTATCGGCAACGTAAACTTGAAACGGTTTTGACTAAAACCTAATGATGATAAATATAATTGACGACAACAACAAAAATTGTTGAATCTCTACTAAGTATCTATCGTTGATGGCTATTGATGTTGGTTATCCAGTTCATA